AACAAGTGTTGTATGAAATGTATACTGGAAAAAAAGAGAATAAAGGTGGGTTGCTCACACGAAAGAGAAAAAATGTTATAATATCCGATTGAATGTTATTCACTTACTTTTAGATATAGGCCTACGAAGATACAACGTAAGCAATTGAAAACAATTACTTTTGCCAATAATATAGTAGCCTAAATCTTAAATCATGGAGGAAGTAAACTAATTCCTCCATGCTTAAATTAATTAGCAACAGCAACTAATTGATCAATCGATCAAGCAATCAATCATCCAACAAACAACTAAATCACTTAAGGAGAATCAATCAGTCAATCGGTTTATCAACAATCAGTAAGTCAATATGTCAATCAATAAATCAATTAACTGACCAATCAATTAAGCAGCTAATCAATCATCAATCAGTAAATCAATCGATAGATCAATCCAATTTAAGTTAAATATCTTTGGGCCACCGTACACATGCTCAACACACAGGAACATATGAATGATACAATTAGGATGAAAACAAACGATAATAATTTCACTAATTTTAGATCTAATTTCAGAAATTGTTGTATACGGTAGTAATGAATAAATATAATAAAACTGACATTTTTAAACACGTTACATACCGATTGATTAAATAATGTTATTATATAGGCTTATATATAATATCACGTAGCTACATCAAGATAGAATGGATATTTGGCAAGACAAGCAAATATAATATCAAGGAGCAGCAAATGAGAATAGGAAGGTAAATCAGATATATGGCCTGATATAAACAGACGTAACGTGAAGAGGAGGGGTATGTTCAACAGTTGATCGGAAAGATTCCCCTCAAGAAGATTCCATTATAGAGCCTCATGTGACCAACTTACAACGTATGTGCAACTTTTCAAATCGTATCAAAAGAACCGACTAGTAGGCCTATTAGGCCTAGAGATGTACTTACGAATATTCCAATCGTGTCTAGAGAACAGAACTCTATTCCGGAACTTGTTTTTCGGTAGCAGTTACTAACAAGAATGATCGCCACTCACTTTCCACCTCACTATTTGATGTTACGCGACAATCAATCATATGAACTTCGACCTACGTAATATGTGGGAAGTTGTAATAAAGGAAAACCTAAGTTTGGTTTTACAACCATCCTTTTTCCTTCGCAGTTCTCTTATTTGATAATTCCAGGTGTTAACAGGATACTTGGAAATTAGTAATATAGCTTGTTAATTGAAGCGTATATTATACCTCTCTGCAAGACAATGAGCATACGCGATGATCTAGAATTCAATTGGTTTATGTGGATTGTTCAGGATTGGAGTGGTGATTTCTAAACGTAAATTAAAAATGGGAAGCTATATGAATCAACGGAAAACAAGGTCGCCTTGAATCTTATAGGCATTGATCTTGCCTGGCGGTTTGTCACGCATCACAAAAACTAGGCCTTCTCCGTCTACCTATCGCCCGAGACGATTGGTCCACCCCTTTTTTTAACACCGTTTGATAATTGTAATCGGAATTTGCGCGTCACTGAAACACCTTGGTAACAAGTCTCCGCAATTAAAAATTCCATTAGATATCGACACCGATAGTCATCCGTGCTTAAAATTTACATATTGTATTTACAACGGTAATATGTATTGATGTTTTTTCTGGGTTTCTTTTTATGGCTACTAAGTTGTGGCGTCAATGGTGAACAGGAGAGGACCCGCACCTGCGTCCGCCTTAGGAGAAGCTTGGATACGGAATAGGGTGCCGAAAGTGTCATACAGATACGGTTACATAGGCTTGCCCGAAAGAAGTCAGTCACCATGAAGAAATTTCCTAACGTCTTCGTTGTTAAAAATTCATGTTTTTAACGATTTTTAGCTCAGTGATTCTACGAAAATTCAACGATTATCAATAGTCATACTGTATAATCTAATGTAGCTCTAAACAATTTTTTCTCGTAACTTACTTGTTGACAAATGCCAAACAATTTTATCAAGGGATTTAGCTCCAACATATGCAAATTCGTCGTCTAGTCGATCTCTTGAAACAATGCAGATCAACAAGTGACAATACAATCCACGCTTTAAAAGTACAGAAATGTAGTAAAGCTATTCAGAAATAATGTATCGTCTTTGGTAGCTTAAGGGCCGGGGCCGTGTGTTTTTCTGAGACTGGGGCCCTTTTCCAGTCCCGGTCGCCAATTCCATCGTGGGGTTTAGATGTGTTTTTTAAACATGTTTGCCATTTTATATATGCCTATTATAAATGTTTTAACGACGAAAAATTGATATCAGTGACTTAAAATTTGAATACCATTCTCTTTTTGTCCCTATTGTTTTCACAAATTTGACAGATCAAAGGGCCCCTTAATCCGTCACTGGTTATAATATGATATATGTCCTACAGTAGAGACACGTCATTCTGTTATGTATCAATAAAGCTCTTTTGGGTCAGGTGCTAGATCGGGGACCCTATGAGTAGGGGCCCGGGTCCCTAGGTGTTGGGGCCCTACGGACCGCCGCACGAGAGAGCATAGGCCTATCATTATATTTTAAAAAATTTAAGCATCATTTTAAACATCGAACTGCACAGTTTAAACGATTATATAAGTTATCAACTTCAAGTAATTTTGGCACCCATAAAATAAAAATGAGTTTTATCTACAAACTTTTTTTTCTACGAATACGAATGAAATGGTATTAGGCCTATATTTTCTCTTATTCTTGAAATATAATAATATCATACTTTATCCAAAGTAAGCAATATCGAATTCTATATTTACTGTACAGATCAACGCAGACAGTATAGTTTAACATATGCTTAATTTTCTACTGTTCTTGGGCCATAAAATTACTGTAAATTCAGTACAATAAGAATTTACGAGATATGTATATTACATTCACATTATTATCTCTCGAAAAATATGTTTATCTAGCTGTTAAGCCTATTGCCACTCTTGATGTTATTAGCAAGAATTATCAACGCCTGAAGATGGATAAGTCATTTCCGTTGGTAAACAAACAAACGAGTATACGAATAAACACTGAATCGTGCAAATACATTTTGAAATGTCTGTACTAGTTTTTAAAAAAATCCAAGGCCGTATCCAGGATTGTCAATAGAAGGGATGAGGTGGGGAGGCGTGCAAAAATGGATAGAGTATACTAAAATCCTCGTTGGGTAAAGGGGACAGAGCCGGTCGGATCACATCTACGATTTTTCATTACATACGATAATTCGCAGGAAACACTTCCTTGTATTCTGGTACTACTGTATGTATCTTTTCGAGAAAATTGTTGGCACTTAACGCTAGCCATGTTAATTAATGAATGACTCCCCGGGAGTTTCTACACATGTTTTTGCCTGTTTTTCCTCACTAGTTAGTTGATAATAGATATATTATTTTAAAAATTAGAAAATTAATGAAAAAAAATAATAATAATAATAATAATAGAAAATGCAGAAAAGGCTGCATGTTCTGCTCTGCAGGTGGAAACGGTGCCGCGAGTAGCTCTTACTTGCGCCTTATAAAGTACATTATTATTTAAGGATAAAATTTTTAGGTTTCCAGGAGCGTTGTCTTAATTACGATACAAATTCTAATACTAATCTATAAATTCGTTTATTATACATTATATGCTATTTAAATTACACATCTTTAAAACGAGAAAAAATACCTCTTGGGAAGATTGAAATACACAAAAAAAAATCCAAAAGAGACATTATCTTAACTAACATAATATGTATATAAACATCATCCTAAATGAAATAGGCCTATATACGTTCCTGGACATCACATAAAAAGGATTGATAAACCTACCAGTACCACGAAGAAAGACTCAAATCTGTATTTCAATCTTCCCTTTTTCAACGGAGACGTGAGTTCTGAATAAGTCCTTAATCGCAATGTCTTCGAGTAGCTTTTACCGCAGTGTTGTCGGAGTCAAATAGTGTTATTCGTCACGTTCAGTATCGAAATACTCCAATAAATGACGTTTCATTGTATTTATAGACTAATAAACAAACTTATGAATTCATTCACCCCTCCCTATGCGTCGTGGGATTACAGGATGACGGACGGCATAGCCCATGATCATGACATATTACCGGCGATTAAGGCACATCAGTGCTGAGATAAAGGCGTTTCGAGCCTGCTTACGCAAATCAAATCTGGTTTTGAACAGACGATTCAATCAACTAACTAAACATCCTCTCTGTGAAACCAAACATTTAATCTTTATATAGAGATTGGTTGATGTAATATGATCCAGTAACACAGATATTTGACAATTAACCCTCCATGCATCGGAGACTCTCATACACCATGATTTGAAGATATAAAGAAAACATTAATGTTGAGAAGAAAAAAAACCATGTCGATGTGAGAATAATATATAATTGGTATACGGGGATAAACGTAATGCGACAGGGTAGCGTAGAAAACAGGACACCTAATATTACAGTAAAATGAGATATGGGCACATAGAAATTATTATTATCATTATTATTATTATTATTATTATTATTATTATTATTATTATTATTATTATTATTATTGTTATTATTATTATCATTACTATTATTAATATTATTATTATTATTATTGTTATTATTATTATTATTATTACTATTATTAATATTATTATTATTATTATTATTATTATTATTTAATCATCAAATAAAGATAGACCTCTAATTTTAACCACTTACTTAATAGATCCTGATTTAGCGATTCTTAAGTAAAAGACGTGTATTGCAGCGTGTAATATGAAATAATCACTGCTGCCTTGTCAGATAAATATCTCAATTTTTAAAGTGTTCTCAGTCATTGTCGTCTCCCTGTATCTGCTGGCCACAAAACAACCACATCTTCATGGGCAGTTTGTAGGAAATATACATTTGCCTCATCTCAATGAAACTTTTTTAACAAGGTCCTATACACTGTATATTGTTGTAAACGGTAAAGAAGATGAATCTGCTAGTGGGGAAATACTGCTCCAACAGGGATTCGAATCCGGGACCTTCTGCTGTCTATGGTGCAGACGCTTAATCAACTGGGCGTAGGAGTTAATTGAGTTTTAGTCTTATACTGTCAATTTAAATATATATATATATATATATTAGAAAACAGCAAAATTTATGAATAGACCTAGGCCCTATTACTCAAATTTTACATTAAACACGTTTGATATTGCCGCCCATAGATAAGGTACAGTATTAGACTAATACCTCACTGGCTTTCCTCATTGTGTTAAATGAGTTAAACCAACTACACCATGTCTGTCTCTTATACACATCTAGATGTGTATAAGAGACAGGTTTAGATGTGTTTTTTAAGTCTTATACTGTCAATTTAAATATATATATATATATATATTAGAAAACAGCAAAATTTATGAATAGACCTAGGCCCTATTACTCAAATTTTACATTAAACACGTTTGATATTGCCGCCCATAGATAAGGTACAGTATTAGACTAATACCTCACTGGCTTTCCTCACAGTGTTAAATGAGTTAAACCAACTACACCATGTTAAGAAGTGTGTATAAATGTATGATTATTACGTTAAGATGAAAAGTGTGGTCCAATTAATTTACTGCTAAAATGAGGGATTGTTTGGTGTTAGTAGTAGTAATATAAAAGCCCGTTTGTTGCGTGTTGTCCACCAATAGCATTTTAAAATATCAACACTTACTTCAAGTTTTTATAATACTGTATATAGCCTATCAAATTGTTACTGTGTTAATTTTAAAATATAAGGAGATGGACATTGTACTTAATGTATGCTGAATGAGAGACCATTGACGTTAGTAGCAATAAAGGCGCATTTATTGTGAATCCTCAATGGGGGTAGTTAAGTAAAGCTGAACTCATCATTCTAAGACAGTATGAAAACACAAAGTAAGCGTTGGTAATTTTAAAGCGGATGCGTGTGAATTTGATAGTAAAAAAATGCTTTTGCTTCTTTAAGCACACGCTGTTTAATTGAACGGTGTCTTTGCTGGATAGTAGTTGAAATTTTACAAAATACCTGTGGCCTTGGGTCAAGGCACGTCGTTTCTCTCTCAAGCACCCAGGAGAAGTCCTGTAAACAGTGGCGTATATGGGCGTCTTGAAATGAGCGGGGGGTGATGGAGAGGTGGGGTGTGGAAGCACGAGTATTTTTAGAAGGTGCGCCCCGCCCTCTCATAGATACGCCGATGCCTATAAATGGGTACCTGTCAGCTACTTTAACAGAACATGATATTATTTTATTTCAAATTATTAATTACAATCTTTTTGAAGTCGATATTTAACCGTAATCGTAACAGTTAGAGATAAAAGTAATTCTATACCTAACTCGTGACGAGCCACGTACTATATGCATTTAGAAAATCCCTTATATTATTGTAAACAATTTACGGCTCCAGTTGTTTGACATTTATTAAAAGCTTTTGTCATTCTTTAAGTCATATTTTTAAACTTAGTTAATTAGTATTTCAGTCACTGAATCAATGAATCAACACTAATGCCAGTATTCATCTGAAAATGTTCCGTAAATGAAGGCATAACCAACTGGCTGAATACAGAGCCTAGTTTTAAGTCTCAGAGTCAAACCTAATCAAACTTTTTTTTACTGCATGCATGATTTTCAAACTTTGTGGTCGATGTAAGAAAGAACGTTAAATACGGTATGTGATGAAATACGAAATTTATTCGTGAATGAAACAAACATTCTATGTTTTGATTCACATTGCTCATGCTGGTTGAAAACGGTGCTTTACAAAAATTATATGAATGTCGTGGCCAGTGAGTAGTCAAACAAACTGTAGCTTTAGGCCGGTTGGCATATTAAAAAGATAAGGTACTAATTTGACCCGCCCTTGATTAACCATTTACGTATACGATGCACCTTAGTCACATGCTTGGTGAAATATAAGTTTACCATAATAGACACATATAAAATGAATTTAAACAATATACATGTGTTTTTATATCTAAAATTTTACCTTTTTTACTAAATACATTTTTTTTATTTTTTTTACCAAATTTACTAATTAACTACACAACATTCAATTTAGTTGTTTTACTGCAATTTGTTGAGTTACGTACAGACGTTTAATTTATTTTAATACAGATACCAATATATAAAAGTATACAAGTAATCAGCCAGTTGTCTGAAGGGTTAATATACAGTATTACCTTTAATTTTGATATTGATATTTCAAATACTGTGTTTAATGTGTTTGCTCATTTTATAACTATAGTTTAATGACCGGTAATCTATTTGAAACACAAGCCTTCAAAATGTTCATAATCGATACTTTAAAAAAGAATTAATGCCACTATCTAGGGGCTTAGAACATCTCCCTGTTCCCGCATAGGTGCTCCTTCCTCGATTGGCGCTATGTGTCTCAAAAAATTACCGAAACCATTTGATTGAGAGAACACTGGGAATAATTGTTACTTTTAGGACAATGTTCCGTCGTTAGGCCTATATATAGATGATACAAAACTCGGGGCTATATACAAATGATATAGACCTATATTACAATTGACCGTTATTAATCACCCTATAGATCTTATACTATTATTATACTCAGAAATGTGTTTTCTTCATTAATTTAAACGTATTCATTGCGTCAATCATTCTACTTGGTTAATTGAGATAATTACATTAGCGAACATTGCCATACAGCAAAATCCCATAATCCAGGTGGTTACAGTATGTAAGGCCTTATAAAAAGCCTACTCCGAGTTATAGTGTATATA